ATACTTAGATGCAGGACCTTCTACCAGGTCTTCCCTAAGATAACCTGGAGCAGCTGTATAACCAACTGTATATAAAAATGTCCAGAATAATGAACAAAAAAGTAAACAACATTTTCTTGGTACACCTAATTCTATCTGCAATCACATCAATCCATTCCAAAGGCACCAAATGATTCGCAGTGAGCCTGTTCTGTCGGTTCCTCAAGCACTGTAGCTAGAAGGCATTTTGGAAGTGCCCCAAACACCCACATTTAGCTACACAGAATTAACAGACAGCAAACAACATTAACACTCCAGGTGAACCTCTACCCAGATTAGTTGGAGTCTTACACAGTTGTCAGAGTAAGTAGCAGCTGAGGAGGCAGCAAATGTCCTGAAGTTTAACATTGCTATCCTTCCCCTTCTCAGAAGAGTCAGGAGGATTTCGCCTTCTCACTTGCACGTTCTTCATTATTAACCTGCCTCTTTATTCAGTACAAAATTAATTAAATACTCACTCCTGCTGCTCTTTTTATTTCTAACATACTTGAAACAAATTAGTGTCAGTGGATCTCCATCATTTGTCCCAACTTAGATTCAGTTCTCTGTAATGAAATGCACATTACAAAAGGCAGATGGAGAAGTTCACTGTGTTAGGTGGGAATTGCCACACTGTCTTCTCAAAACTTGTCCCAAGCATGGGATAAGCAGGATGCTCACTGGAAAAAACAGGTTTCTTGCTCTTCTGGCATTCCCAAGCTGCATCTATCGGCTCAGTGTGAGCAGTTCTCCATGTGAAATCCCCTATGTGCTGCACTGGCTGATGAAGGATAACGCAGGCTTGAAACCGTAGCACTGGCTGCAGGGAAGTCTGGAAAGACTTTTAGGACTGAGGGCAGGCATGGCTAAGACACACCTGGTGAATGCACCACCTTGGATCCAACAGCACTGCCAAAATAAAAGCTGGCCCATAAAAGGTATGCAGTAAGCTGCACTGTCATTAATTATTTATATGGATTTATATTATAAATAATACAGTATTACAATGTGTTGGTTTTTTTAAAATAATTTGTCTGAATCTGTATTTCAGAGGATAATTAAGTTGGTAAATAAGGGCAGCAGAGCACGACTCTGAACTCTGATGGGTTCACTGATCTTATCCTTCCCCCTGAACTTCTCTGATCCTCCAAAACCACGTTCATGAACCGCAGACCACATCACTGGGACCAGTGGCTCTGCAGTGATGTTGCTCCTTTCCCTGAATAGCAAGTTCACCTGATCTTCAAGGCCGCATGGAGACTGCATCTGAAACGCCTGACAGCAGGAGCCTGGAGTCCTTCCACAGCTGCACTGATGTTACAGCACTCTTGACAATGAAACATACCCCAGAAATAAGCACAACTTTTATTTGGTTTTCTTAATTATTTTGAATTGCATTTTATGTTTTCTTAAAAAAAGGTGTTGCAACACTCAGCGTTGTACCTGAGATACGTTTCCTTTGGGCAGAGGTGATACGATAATGGAATTAACAGATGCAAATTCTAAGCGATAACAAGTCACTTTGCTGTCTGTCACAATGACAGACAAAAGCATCTTATTTGGGGGAGAAAAGATCTATAAACAAATAGTTTCATCAGGTTACATCTGGAGGTAATTGTCTTTGAATCTTCCAAAGTGTACTGAGGTCCCTGAGCCAACGCGGTGGCATTTGAGGCACATTTGTAAGGAGAGTGTGCTTCATCAGCGTCAGCACAGCTGACCTCCCCGAGGCTTACCAACTTGTTCTGGAGAATTCTTAAGAAATATTTGGCTGCACTTTATATTAGATGGAGCATTTATAATTAATTAACTCTTACAATATGGTCTATAGGTATTTTAAATGTGTTACAGACATGATTAATACTTTTTATAGGTAATTATAATGACATCAATAAAAGGTGTTAAAATATATCAATTATGGTTGCAAGCAAGCTACTGAGTTGTGGGATGTTCTAGCTGTCTGTGTATTTTCCAAAGGTTTGTATTGCACGATCTATTTTGAAGCAGTTTCCAGTAGAAAAGATGCAAAACCAAATAAGAACCCAACGATGCTGACAAAGCCCAAGATCAAACAAAGGAAAAAATACGACTGGGGTATAAATCAGAAAATGTCTATTGTTTAATTAAAAATGAATCACATTTAGAGTGCTCTGAGCTATCAGCAAGTGTAGCTTACCTAAAATAATTAAGCAACAGGCTTATTAAAAAATCAAGATATAATTAAGAATCAAGGTGGTTTTTTTTCAGAATTAAAAAACAACCAACAAATCAATTCTAGAAAAAAAAATTATTGTCAAAATAAAATCTTTACTGGTAAATCGAAAGGAGAAATGCTTTACTTTTTCAATTACAAAAGAGTAAATGCAGCACGCCTATGAAAACACTAAACCCAGGAATAGCTCTACTCCTTCAAAAATTAGACAAACTGAAGCTTTTAGTATACTTAGAATTATTAGATATTCACACAGCGCAATAGAACAAGTCTAATGTGGCTGGCCCACTGCCAGGAAGCCATCGAGATCTCTGACACAGAAAAATAACACATCCTTTGGCATTCCATGTATCTAGAAGAGTTTTTCCCAATGCATTTCGCTGAAGGTCAGCAATTTTCAGAGTGAATTCCATTTGCGACAACCTGCACTGAGAAATGGCAGAAACTTTTAGCCCTGTAAAATAGAGATAACTGGTGGAATAATGCTTTGGCACATACCATTTGCATGACTGGAGACTCATTTAGGACCTGTTTGGTCATCAGATCAAAAACATCACTGACAAAATCATCATCTCTCGCTAACTCTTAAGCAAAACTGTGGCAAATGAATCTTTGAGAAGATTCTTTTTTTTCCAATAGTCAAAAGGATGGCATTAAAAAACCCGACTAAACAAACCTACAACAGCCAAATGTCTTAACTCATGCCCGTGCTCTTTGACTGAGGTCAACAGAATGGGGAGAGGGATTAACCCACTTCAGGGTTCTTGACTTGAGAGGACCACGTTGGTAAAGCTATGAGAGTTCTCCTGTCCCACCCAAACTAGGAGCATGTGTTTGGCATTACATGCCTTCCAGACAGCTGAGGGGCTTCAGTGGTGTTACAGTCTCCATTAATTCTGCCCAGTATGTCAGGTTCTACTCATGACATTATAATTAGTTGTTAGTTATCTTAGTCATAACCAACCATGGAGAAATCTAACTGTGAAATGAGCACACGTACTTCTCATACTGATGGATTATTTTACTATTGTTACAGACTGCACCAAATTTTCCTGTTGACAGATACCTAAAACAAGTATCATCTGGGACTAGAAGGCAAGTGGTGCTCCAGGATGCCAAGCTGAGATCTGTCACCTTCAGTATCAGTAGTGTAAGACCAGTCAAGCTATTCTGCATTCACTGTCCCCACACCTACTCGCTCGGAGAACTGGGACAGCATTATCTAGAGGTTTGCATAGTTTTACCTTACTGCCCAAAATCCTGTTGAATTGAAACGTTGGTGCAGTACCACCATGACTGAGGGCCAGAATACGCCTCAGGATCCAAGACCACAAGGCTGCCACCTGAAATTTCGTGTCATTAATGACACTGTCAATGAAAGCAAATTTGCTCGTCTTCCTGTGACAATCCTTTATTACTAAAATAACAGACATAATCAAACTAAGTAATCACTGCCTTTTTTATCAGATTATTCAGCAGAAAAGCCAACTATTTAGATCCTTATTGATATGATTATAAACATAAACATATTGCTTTTCAGTTCATAACACTTCAGTACAAAGGAACAGTGGAAAAGTGGGTCAAAACTGCCTTTTTATATATCAGTCAAATTCCAACTAAATTAAACCAGATTAATTAACAAGAAAGTCAGCAAAAAAAAGCTCCTATTGAAGTACTGGTAAGTAAGTGCATTACTTTCCACATCACAGCATTTTAAACTGTAGCGCAAAATGAAATAAAAATACTTAATTCAAATATTAGGGATGATAAAACCAGTAACTGATACTTCCAAGAATCATGCAATGTTTTGTCAGGAATTATTTCTCCTCTTTGCTTTCCCTCTTAGTTTGACATCACTTTGCCACAATAA